CTTATGATTCTCAACATATATGTTGGGGGCAAACCAGTGATATTTTGGTCATGTCAAGAACCGGAAATACACAAGTTACTTTTTGTATTTTAAATAGTTCCCTACATTTGACTATTAAGTACTTATCATATGGCTATATGTATTGGGTTTCCAAAACCCAATGTTCTTGGCATGGTCCATCAGCCGCTATGCTCAGTAAGGCGCTAAAATCAGCAGAGGCCATTAAATGTGCTAAAGCTAAAAATTTCCGGCGGTAGGTGCTGGGAGGGAAGAAGCATTCACAGTTGAATATAATGATCACCATACAGTGGATCCTTGGAACATGAAAATGCATATTGACACATTTTATTTTTTAGTAGTTCTTTTAATTTTAGTAATTATTGCAGTGACAGAATAAAATTTTAGTGATGACTTAATCTAGAATAGGCTCTTAGCATGCCTGCAGAACAGGTGCCAAATTTAATACTAATTGATAGATTGATGGTGACTTTGGGGGAGGAGAGGCAAAAGGACAGGGAGACAAGCTCATGAAAAGGAGGAGTAGCTTGAAATCATGTTATTTAACCATCCTTTGTGTATTTTGCCCAGAAAATTTTAAAAACTTCATTAAGCTATTCTTTAGTGCACAAAAGAAATAGCGGTTTTCTGATGCTTCCTAGTTAAAATCTTAGTAAATAGCAAGGTGATTAATAAAATGTATACCTTTAAACATGTAAATGCAGCAACTCTGAGTTTTTTATAATCTCACTGAAGAGGAAAGTGTGTCGTATGCTTAACTTATCCCCAAATAGGATATCTACAGTACACAGTGATTAAAAAGAAAAAAAAGCAGATGATTGCAAATGAATGTGTGTGTCCTTTTCTACAAAGCACAGTATATTCAATGGCCCTATTGCATAAAGTTACCATTTTCATTTGCAGAAGGGTGAAATTGGCTGTCAGAGACCAGAGCAGTAAGCCGTGCCAGAGAGGTTCACGCCATTCTTGCCTGAAATCATGTTACAAAAGATGGAAATCTGATATGTATCCATTCTGTTGTTAACTGCATCCCGTGCTCCCCATCTCACTACTTTTTCCTCTTAAGAGCGCTTGGAATTCCCTGGATCATGTAATTCCAAGCTAAGCAGAAGGGATAAAGTCTGGAGGAGAGGGAAAGCGCAGTTAAAGAAGAATCTAGAAGAGTCTTCTTACCAAAATTCTGAGAACTTAGCCTGCAAATGTAGTTGTGAGAATGGCTCAAGGCTGTAGCAGGGAGACATTTCTTGGTTTTCTCACATCCTCTTTTCCAGAAGTCAGCTGCAGTTTCTGAGACTAAGTGCATGTTATTACATCATCATATGAAGGCAATTAAACTCATGTGAGTTCCCTCCCCTCGCTTCACCGTCCCCTATAGCTAATGACCGGGGACCTCCTAAATGCCATCGAGTTTAAGTATTGGTCTTCCCCAATTTTAGAGTGAGTTCTCAATTTGCTTTTCCAAGAGGGGTGTATCTAGAGAAAGATTATGCTTGTTTCCTTCATAGTTTATTCTTACCAAATGCAGCTGGGAAGCTTTTGAAAAGATAAACTGCTAGTCTGAAAAAATAAGTCTAACACTATGTTGTTAGACTGGAATGTACTGGAAAAAGTATAGCAATATGATTATTAAGAAATAGATTGCTGTGTCCAATCCATATCAACATGTATACCTAAAAAATTAAACAACAAAAAAGCCATAAATGCTACTGAAATCCATCTTTAGTGGGTTGTTTTCTAAACCAATTATCTGTCAAACCTGTCCCTGGTTCAGTGGCTATAGGAACGCCAGGTGTTGTTTAAAAGTTGAGATTCCAGTGCCCTACCCACATGTGCTGAGCCAGAATCTCCGAACGTGGAGTTCTGGAGTATACCTTTAGTAAGCTTCTCAGAGGGTTCTTATTCTATGCTAAAAAAATAGGGGTGGGGGGAGGGAGGAAGGAAGGAAGGGCGGAAGGAAAGAAAGGAAGATACTCATATCCTAAAAAAATTGTAAGGAAGAATATAGCTAACTTCTTGGGTGAGGGCCTTGTTTTGTGTGTTTCTTGTAGAACCTGACCAAGATGGGCCACACAGTTCGGTTTTTGTTCACATAGATAGAAATAAGGGTCAGTTAAGATTCTTTCCCACTGTGCTCGCTGGACAAGGTGTTTTGTCTATTTAAAGTCAAAGTGAAGTCAATATAAGGTTCGTTTCTTCTCCAGACAAATTCAGACTATGGGGTTCAAGTTGACTTTGAGCCAAGCCTTGCTAAGCTCTTTCTTACCGATATGCCTGGACAATTTTCACCCATCCATTTATCCATCATTCCTTCTATACACTATGGTTCTCCTCCCCTGTGGTGGATCTTCATAAACTTAGAGATCTTCATGAACTTAACCAGTCCTGTCAAAAGTTAGCTTCTGTGAGCCGCAAAATAAATTGGGCACATATGAGCAGAATAAAAAACTTAGATTTTAACTGTTATTCTGACTTTACCAAAATGTTTTCCTTTTACAAGTTACTTTAAACTAAAATTAGAATAGATAACATAAAAAAGGCCAGCATAGTCACGGAAGATGTCTGAGCTAATTCTAAAACAAGAAAGCAATATTATCGCAAGTATAATTTTAACATGTGCGTAAGGTGGCCCTATACGTTTAATCTCAAGCTTTCTGTTCAACGGACTAGATGTTCTCTTTTGTGGTTTATTATAAAATGCATTTATTCATGGAAATGAATACGCTGTGGAACCCATAAAAGTCGCAGACATACTGCTTTTTAAAAAAATACAGTGATCCCTTTGAACATTTAAAAGCTGTTTTTAAAAGCTCAGCACTCTTGTCCCTATGATTTCACTTTCTAGAATATAAATTTCATGATATGACACGCAAAGTTATAAATCAAAGATACCCTAAGAAAATGTAGGCATGCATAATATCCTTGCTTTCACCAAGACCAGGTATTTGCTTAACTTCAAAAGTTAAATGCAATGGAAGCCTCTGTTCTAGCTTTTGGAAATGTTTTTAGTAATTCCCAGTGAATTCGAAGACAATTCCTCTATTCAGATGTCACTCCTCCATTCACTGCTATGAGGCCGTCTACACCTACCAGCTTGGGGTCACCATGGTTAGCTTCTTTGCTCTAGTCATTATTAAGTGTTTAACAGACTTTAAAAAGATTTCCATTCACAGTTCTGAGCGTCTTTTAAACTACTGAGCTCATGCCTAAATTTTTTATGTTTCCCGCTCAAGGGCAGTGTTGTGTTGCCGAAACCTACACATAGGGCTGCCTGCGTAACTCAAACCTTGTTCAGAATGAAAATCAAGACGGTGACAGAAGAACATTAAACCAAGTGTGATCTTTCTAGGATGGAGCTCCACGAAGCCAGTGCTTCCTACAGAACCTTTTGAAAGAGTCCACTCTGGTTTTAAAAGATTCACTGGGAAACACACTAAGCAGTGAATTCCATTTGGCCTTGCCGACTTAACCGTGTGAAGAAATAGACACAGAAGATGATGTACCTGAAAAAGAATCACAGGTATAACAGGATAACTGTAGATGGTTGTCACTACAGTTTAACAGGAAGAGCTCAGAATCACAGAGTGGAAAATGTGCGGAAAAATGGGGGTGGGGGGAGGTTGGAAACTGGGGAAAGAGCCTAAGGTCTACGGGAAGAGGAAACCCACTCTGTGATGCATCTTGGGGCAGGTCGAGCGCATCTACACAGTAGCTGTGCGTAGTTGTGTGCTTACGGAGGGTACTAGGTTTTGGAACCCGTAAGTTCCATTCTGTATGAGAATGCGGGGAGGTCCGGGCACAGGCATATCAGTCAGGTGGCGTGCACCTGAGTATGCGTGTGCACGGGCCTCTGACTTAACTGTGTTGTATGCATATCCCCATGCGTCAAGCGCAGCCTTCATGAGCACATCCCAGCTCTCTCTAGGGCGTCCTCTGGCTTCCCAGGGGAACTCAGGGGCAGCGTGAACCTTGTAACAGCTGCCGGATTATAAATGCTGCCAGAGCTCTTTACGGGGCACGGCCCTCTCTGGGGACTGGGAGCACGTGTAGCCAAAGAGCCTGGGAGAAGATTGCAAGAGACGGTGAGGCTGAATCAAGAGTCTTGGGGGCCACATTCAAGGGCAAGAGTTTGGGAAAGATTTCTGTTTTGAGGCACTCACCTTGGGAGAGAGTAGTGCTCACCAGAAAAACAGCCCAGGAAGCAAGTAGTTTGTGTCTGTGTAACAAATGGCACTTGCTATGTACTCAGATCGGTTTCCAGGTAATAATTAGGAAAGAAGGGAGGAAGAACAAAGGAAGAAATGCGGGGGAGGGGGGGAGGAAAATGTCAGTCACATGTCCTTGCCTGGCTTCTGACTCCTCTTACATCCATGTCAGTTGTTACTTGGGAATGAAAGGAAACTCAAATATGTGAAAGGAGGGACGAAGCTTGGACCCGGGGTAGAACCTGGGCAGGAAGCCTACAACTTTGAGGCGCTGCGTCCTTCCTTAGGCAGGTTGGACGCCCTTGGGGGTCCCGAGGCCCTCCTTTCCAAGAGGGGCACCTCCATCCCAGGCCCGGGCTCGCTCACACCTGACGTTTAGCCGGATGGTGGGGGTGGGTGGGGGGTGGGGAGCAATGCGGACTGTGGGGGAGCCTGCGTGGGAGACCGACCACCCAGAGTGGGGCGCACCGGGAAGACGCGGCCGGCGCCGCCCTGCCTTGCAGCGCGGGGGCTCGCGGCCGCTGAGACCTGCCCACGGCCCTCCGCCCGCCCCCCTGTCACTCACTTTCCTTCCAGCCAATGGCGCGGCCGCCTGTCACCCTCCCCCCACCCCTGGAGGCAGAGCAGGGAGGAGGTTGGCGGGGAGGGCGCGGGGCTGGAGTTGAATGATTGAACTTTGCCGCGGAGTTGCGGCGGCCGCGAGGTTCCCGGCAGTGCGGCCCCGGCGCGGAGCTGGGAGCCTCGGCCAGCGCCCGGCGCCCGCGCCCCCGACCCGCAGCCATGGTGCCCGGGGCGCCCGGCGCGGCCCTGACCCTCTGCCTCTGGCTGGCGGCCTCCGGGGGCTGCCTGGCTGGCGGCCCCGGCGCCGCGGCTGCTCGGCGGCTGGACGAGTCCCTGTCGGCCGTGAGCGTCCAGCGCGCCCGCTGCTCCTCCAGGTGCCTCAGCTTGCAGATCACGCGCATCTCCGCCTTCTTCCAGCATTTCCAGGTACGGGAACCGCCGCTGCCGACCGTGGCGGGGGGCGCGCGCGGCGCCTGCCTCCCAGCCTCGGCGCCCAAACTTCTCGCCGGGCTCGGCGGGCAGATCCCGCTTTCCTTCGGCGTGACTCTCACAGTCGAGGTGGTCGAATCCTCCTTTCCAGCCTCCTCCTTGCTCCCGAGAGGAAAGAGAAACGTGCAGCATCTTCCCCCAACTCCCCTCTTCCCCGCGGACAGCGCGAGGTGCTCTCTGTGGGGAGGGAGAGCGGCTTTGCAGATGCCGAGCGTGGCTGTGAGCATTTGTTAGTTTCCCAGGACTTCCGCGCGCGGGACTCCGGGCTGGTGGCGAGTCCCGCAAACTCCCGGGCGCTCGGGGGCCCTCGGTGCCGCCAGCACTGTGAGCGAGGCCGGCAGGCGCGTCCAGCTGCGCCCGGTGACCCGCGCGACTCGCCGAGCCCCGCAGGTGCCGGCGGGTCGACACTTTTGTCTCTACTGAGCGGTGCTTTCCCATTCGGCGGGCCCGGAGCTCGCAGCCCACCCTTGGAGCCCCAGGGGCTTCCCAGTCAGTCGTGTGTTCCAGAATGTGTGTGTTGGGGAGGGGGGGTGGTGGTGGTAGCTGTGCGCTCCCCAGTTCGGAGCCCCGGAGCTTCTAGGTCTAGTCGGTGGACATAGTGTGGAGAGTAAGGGAAGAGACTCGGGGGGTTCGGGACTTAGAGGGCCGCGTTTGGGTGCCCTGAGAAGCGTCCTGGGGTCAGTGTCTTACCCCAGCCCTCGTAGGTCCTTTCAGCTTGAGTGTGGAAGAGCGTGTGTGTGAATGTGAATGTTGGGGGCTCAGGGGGACGCACGCTTGTTGCCTGTGGACTGCCGGGACCCTTGGTGTTGGGGGGGGGAGCGACAGCGCTGAGGGTCCCCGCAGGTCGTGCGTGGGAACCCGGGATGCTGGGGGCGCGTTTGCGCCGCGTGAGGACTCTGCGGAGGCGCGCTGGGTTGCCTTTCCCAGCCCATCCGAGTGCGCGCAGTCTGAAATCATTCACGCAGACGCCTTATTTCTCTCGAGGGCCGTCGTTCTCCACTTGGCCTTCTCGCCTCTAAGCGGCTCACCTGTTCCGAGACTCTTAAGTTCCTTCTTGCCGCAGGGCAGACTGCGGAGGCCAGACGGAGACTCGGGACTCTTTGGCAGGTTTTTGATCTCAGGAAATAAACTGGGCGCCCCTCCCGCCTGGTCAGGGTAAAGGGAGCTTTCCAAGGGGCCCTGGGTTTTCAGCTGTGAAAGCAGGTGATTGTAATGACGGTGGAGTTTGGGACGTATCTCTGTACCCTTAAGGGTGTTCGTCCTGGCCTGAGAGCTAATGAAAGCTGGCGCCCAATGGCACAAGCACTCACGGTTGGGATCTTCAGAGATTGCACTAGCTCGCGGAGTTTGCGTGTGCGGGAGTGCGCGTTCTTAAGGAAGCAACCTGTAGTGGCTTTCCCGAGAAGCTGGCACACTCTGCGTCCCTCCTGATTGTTTAGGGAAAGGGAAACCCGGGTGCTCGCGTCCTGCGCTGAAATTACGCGGACATCCTGGAGAGGGCTCCTCCCCAGCCACCTGGTTTCAAATCCGCCCTGCCCTGTCAGTCCCTCTCCTGAGAAGATGCTCCACTGTTGTTTCATCAACAGAAAACAAAACAGAGTGACCCATTCCTGGAGAGAAAGAGTATCTCTTTCTTTTCTTTCTTTCTTTCTTTCTTTTCTTTCTTTCTTTCTTTCTTTCTTTCTTTCTTTCTTTCTTTCTTTCTTTCTTTCTTTCTTTCTTTCCTTTCTTATTGAATTGTCAGTTGCTGTAATTTATTTGTTTAGCAGTTTAAGCGGCTAAAGAAGCAGTTTAGATCAAGCCAATTCCCGTGAAAGGCTTTTCTTGTGGTCTCCTGGCATGATTTCTCTTCGGAAGAAAAACTGCTGACAGAATACACATTGCCACACAATCCTGATTACATTTTAATTAGCTGGGCTGGAATAAGCTGCAAATTACTGTTAGGACTTAATAACTGCTGTTTTTGCCATCAGTTGCCAAGCCATTCGTGGCGGGTTAACCCTAACCTGGTAATGCCTATCTGATTTACCTAAATTGCAGGGATTATGCTTTCTTAAGATTTGAAAAGGCAGCAACACACTCTCCTTATAAACCCTCAAGCTTCCCTGTCCCTCCCCCTTGTTAAATGGGAGATGACTACGGAGGAGTCAGGCTGATGCCGGCTCCTTATGGGGCACGTGGAATTTATTAACAGGCAGGAAAGGTGGGGCGAGACCAAGCTTGTGCATGAGCCCCTTCTCTCAGGGTCACCCCACCCACTTGTGCGAAGAAGCCCCAGCAGAAGGCTGTTTCTTGAGCAGGTGGCCATTTTCAACTTCTCTCACACAGTTCTAGGCATCTTTTTTAAAGGATGGAAGAAGGCTTGTCTCCTCCCTTGAGGCCAGCCAAGCGTGTGGACTCTTAGAGGTGACCCTGCCAGGGCTTGCCTATGGAGACCCGAACCTATGCGCTCACGGTGTAGACAGAGACTCCGAGCTGCGGGGGGCAGTGCCCTGGAGTGGCAGGCCTGCAGAGGAGGCTGGAATCTAACGGTCTCTAACCCTAATTGCACACGCTTTCCAGCCGCCCAGCCCTGCAGCAGTGAGGCTGTAGGGCTGCAGGTAGATGGTGCTCACCTGGTGTCTTTGCTTCGGCCGTGCGGGTGGGCTTCAGCTGTCAGCCCTGCAGCCCTCAACCAGCCTGAACGCCCAAGCGACTCAGTACTGATGCATGGGGAGGGGAATGGTGACGGGCCGGGGGGGGGGGATTCCTGAATTATCTGGCACAGCCCCTGACGTGGAAGAGTTCAGAATTTCATACTGAAAGGGAGACGGCTGGCTGAACGGCATCACATCCCTACTAAATGCTGGCCCCATTCATGAAAAGAAACAGTGCAAGTTAACACCTCGCAGGATATCCATTCCCAGCTCCGTGTGCAGGGCATTGGGCACGTTGCCATTTCAAGTTTGCGCATACCATATGCACAACGTCCTTAAAATCCCACTAACAGAGGTGGTTGGGAAGGACGTCCTTCTGTCCGTGAAATGAACAGGAGATCTGGGCTGTGGAGTCTGGAGCAGGGACGTGAGCTTTGGAACGAGGCAGATCTGCTCTGCATCAGCCACTCTGCAGATGGGTTGCTTGGGCAGATCACCTTCCTGAACTTGCAGCCTCTCGCGTGTCTCCCATGGGAGATAAGTACCTGCCCAGCAAGGTGGAGATCCTAGCACATGTTGGGGATAATGAAAGTGACGGTGGCAACGGCGCTAATGCTAACGGGAAGATTAATAAGTACCAGCCTCTGTTCTAGGCGTCCTACAAGTCCTAGTTCATTTAATCCGCACAGCAGCCATCTAAGGAAGGTACCCTTTGTTCCCTAACTGATAAGCAAACAGGTGCTGAGAAGGTAGGTTACTCACAAAGCTTATAGACAGTGGAGCTGGGTTCCGAATGAGGGTGGCTATCAGTTTTAGGTTTTGTTCTTATTTTTAGGATTTTATTGGTCAATTGGTTAATTTACTTCAAGAATGACTACCTAATTTTTGGGACTCAGTGCAAAATGAAAATGTGTGGTCCAGTATTTCAAAGAGCAAGAAAAAAGAGTGTTGTTAGAGGAACTAAAATATAAAACGCTTTTTCTTTCTTCTGTGGCTCTTGCAGTTTGTCATGGTGTTTCAAATTTGCTATTCAGTGCTGTTCTCAGTAAAGAAAAATTTAAAAATTAAGTGATTAGTATGGATTTTATTCTTCGTCTTTATATTATTCAGTGCCAGTGTTAACGCGCAAATGTCAGAGCATTTCACTTGTATGCAGAATCACCGGCATTTCACAATTTCTATTTCCTGTCCTGGAGCGTGCTTTGAGATAGCTGGAGGGACAAGCAAGACTCAGGGAGGTGAGAAAAGGGAAGAGAGAGCTCCCCCCAGCCCCCGCCAGGGGGCACACTGTGTGGCGTGCCCAGTCCCACAAGAAGATCTTGCAGGATGTTAATAGACCTTCACGGGCACCTGCGGTCTGCCAGGTGCATACATGCTTGCTCAGACATAACACGTGCTTGGTACCCTCTTCTGCAAGCTTCTAAACCAATGCCTTGCACTTTGTTCTAGATGTTGTCCTCAGGAAGTCGAGCCAGGGATCTCCCCCTCCTCCTGTTCAGACGACAGCAAATGGGCAACCCCCAAGTCCACTGCAGCCTCCTCACGGGATGCAAGCAGATACCTGCTCCAGGGATGGGTTTCGTCCCTGGGAGTCTGGGACTCTGGTTGCCCACCCACCAAACGCAGGGTGGTGCTTCCCGCATGAGATGAGACAGCCATCGCTGTGTTCTGGCACACTTTGCCTCAGGCATGCATCAAGCCCTCCTTTTGGACCCTTGTCCAGGTCCCTGCAGGGGCCGGAGTGTGACAGTCATTTTAGGGCAAGGAGTGGGGAGGGAGAGGCTGGGTGAAGACTGGGGTGCCAGGGACAAGGGAGTGGGGAGCCGAGAACCTTTCCTGGGGGAGGTGAAGGAGCAGTGCGAGGCAGGATCATGCGTGATGCGAGGCTCCAAGCCTCCAGAACAAGCTCTGGTATTCCATCAGACTGCCCGTATGAAACACCAACTCAGGATACAATCGTTGAGATTTCAGTATGGTGACCGCAGGCGTTGGTCCCCCTGAGCATGGACCACATGCATTGGTCGTATGTCCATGAAGCGGCCCTGGCGTGGATTTTTGTACCTCAAGGGTGCAGAGCCCTTGGGAGGGCTTAAGCCCACTTGCCATGGGGGTTCCTCATAGGGTTTTCCACAGCGTTCAAGCTTACGATGCTGAGAAATGTTCACTTGGGAATAACCTCTTACCCTAATTTTTTCAGCTTCACTAGGATATCAAAGAGGGAAAGGAGGGAATATTGTCCGAAATAAACTCTTTCTCAGCGAATCTCATTTAACTTAAGAGTGACTCCCTCTCTTAGGCTAG